AGTCAACGGGGCAGTCAGTTTCGCCATGTCGGGGACGAACCGGCGCACGTAGTTGACGAACCCCAGGAAACTCTGCAACTCGGTCAAGTTGGTCGGCGCGTGCCAAGCCTGAATCGTCGCAATTTTCTTCGGGTCTATTTCCACTCCTGCAGCTGAAATAACATGTCCCAAAAACTCCAGGCGGTCCTGTAAAAACTCACACTTAGATGCTTTGGTCAGTAGGCGGTTCTCACTCAGGATTTTAAAAACTGCTTCGATGTCCTTGTAAGTGCTGTGCTCTGTCAGGGCTGTAAATCAGTATGTCGTCCAGATAAACGATGACGCACTTATCTAAAAGCGGGCGGAATGCTTCGTTCATGGTCATTTGGAAAGTGGCGGGGGCGTTGGTCAGTCCGAATGGCATGACGGTGTATTCGAAGGATCCGTAGCGTGTTCGGAATGCGGTTTTAGGGCAGTCGGGTGGGTTGACGCGGATTTGGTGGTATCCTCCTCGGAGGTCGATTTTCGAGAAAACCCGGGCTGTGCGCAGTTGGTCGATCAGTTCGTCGGCTCGTGGGATGGGGTAACGGGATTTGATGGTAACCCTGTTCAGTGCCCTGTAGTCGATGCACATGCGAAAACCCCCGTCCTTTTTCGGTGTGAACAGTATTGGTGCGGCGAAAGGCGACGAACTAGGGCGAATGAATTCCTTTTCTAGCAGGTAATCGAGCTGCTTCCTTAGTTCGTCTAATTCGGGTTGGGTCAGTCGGAACTGTCGCTGTACTGTTGGCTGTGCCCCCGGTTCCAGTTCTATCCTGTGATCGTGCGGTCGCTGAGGTGGCAGTCCCGTCGGCAGGTCATCCGGGAAAATGTCACTGTACTGTTGTAACAGTGCCGCCAGGTCACTCGGTACGTCGGTCAGCAGTTTCTGTAAATCGCCTCCCTTGTCTGCTGCCTCGGCTTCCCGAATGTCAACCGCGTACACGTCGGCTCCGGCCGCAACAGCGCGTTTCATCGTGATCGCGTTGACACGCACCGACGAAGACTCAGGCGAGCCCCAGCGAGGTAAGGCGATGCTGTTACCGTTCACTCGCACGGTGCAGTCACCCGTCGTCCAGTCAATTCGCGGGTTGTGTCGTCGCAGCCAATCACGCCCGAGTAAAATGTCGGTTCCGTCGAGGGTCGTTGCGAGCATTTCCTGACTAAACGTGAAGTTACCCCCGCATCGAATCCGAACTCGGTCTACGCGTTCCCGTATTGCCAGCGGCGTGCCGTCTACCAGTCGTGCGTCGATCTCAGGTAAGCATCGGTCCAGTGGCAGTCGCAGTTTTCGTGCTGTAGCAGTGTTAATGAGGCTGTGGCTGGCTCCCCCATCTACGAAGATTTTAACTAAGTCCGTCCCAATTTTCCCACTGAGCAGTATAGGGCTATCTACCGTGGTACCCTCCTTATTCGGCCGGGTGTGGTCGATTGCGTGAACCGGCACAATCACTCGGTGAGGGTCGGTTGGGTCGGGCGAGCGGCGTGACCTGTCAGTAGAGGGCCCGTCTGCTACTGACTTCCAGCGTTTCCCTGCTGCTTGGTCTGTGTCTGCTGCTCAGCTTCCCCCTTTCCCTTAGCGTTTTCCGGGCATTCGCTCTTGCGATGTCCCGGCCGATTGCACGCAAAGCAGCGCCCTTTGAACGGTGCGGCAGCGGCATTTGCGGCGACGGCGCGTATCGTGGCGCTCTCGTTCGTCCCACGAGGCCGATGTCCCCAGGTGTTGTTTCCGTAGGACCCCGGTCTCGGTCGGCGAAAGAAGTCGAGCTTCTCCGCCATAGCGAGAATTTCCTGAAACTCAGTGACGCCGCGAAGCTGGATTTCCTGAGCGATGTCCTGCTTCAGGCCGCCGATGTAGCGGTCGATGCGTTCGCTCTCATGCATGTAGCCCACCTGCTCGCATAGCGCCAGAAATCCGCTCGTGTAATCCTGGACGGAACCGAGTTGGCGCCAAGTGCGGAGCTTCTGTCGCGCCGAGATCGAGGCCGCGATTGGCTCAAATCGAGCGCGCAGACCTGCGCACCACGCGTCCCACGTGCGATACTGGGGCACCTCCACGAAATACGACGGCGCCCAGGGTCCGGTTTGTCCTTCCCGTGTCGGTAGTGTCGCGTAGTCGGTCGGCTTCGTGACGATGACGCGCCACCAGTCCATGGCGGGTCCTCGCAGCAACGACACGGCGTATCGAATCTTCGCCGAGTCCTCCGAGACGTAGTTGGCGTCGAAGAAAACATTCATTGTGAATAACCACGCCTGAACGGTAGGACCACCCCGTTGACTCGGGTCAAAGCATGGCGGGCGCTGCGGTTTCAGCGGCATCGGTGACGGCAGTCCCGAATCGTGGGTTGGTGCCGAAATCGTGACGCGAGGCTGACTTGGGGCCGCAGGCGTCGCTCTGGGGTGTGTCGTGCCGTGGTCGTCGTCTCCGTCGGGGCGGACGACGCCATCACTGGCCGCGCTCGCGGGTTGCCCCACACTCCCGTGTTGTGATGTTGAGGGTGCAGGTTGAATCGGAGTGCCAGGTGCTTGGGATTGTGCTCTCATGAGGTCATTTTGCAGTGATGAGCGTTCTGCCGTCAATGCCGCGATTTCCTCGGAGCTTTCGTGCAGTTGTCGCAGCAGATCGTTCAAACGCTCCTGCGTGAGAGTGGTGACGTCGATGTTTTCGGCCATGACGAAGGGCGTCGGCTCGTCTTAGTCTAGGCGCAGTCGTGGCTGCACGCGTTTACGAGAGAACGCGAGGACAGCGGCTCCTAGGGGCTAAGGTGCGTGAGTCCCTTCGAGTGAAAAATCAAAAGTTGATTTCCTGGTGTGCGGAGATGCGCGGTCCGAAAGAAAGGGGCTCTGATAACCAAGTGTTACGGGTGCAATGAATCGAGGTAGCGAGAATTGCACTAAGGTGTCAAACGAGTACAAAATGTGAGCGAAGGCATGAGCGAGCATTTATACGCGAAACATGCAAAACGGTAACGCGGTGCGTGCGAACTTGCTAGTGCTACGCTGGAGCGAGGCTCGGGCTAGTCCCGAAGCGTAGGCCGATACGGCCATGCCAGCAGTGCGAGGTTTGGCAAAACAGTGCGCGCGAAGTCGGCGAAGTTCCGTTAGCAGTAACGGGCGAACAGTCGGCTGTTGCTGTACGCGATGTAGTCGGCTCCGTAAGGAATGCCTGAGAAAATTCCTTACACTCATCCTAATGTGAGGTTCATGTTCAGACCACAGTTGTAACTATATTCATCGTTGTTCTGGAACTGGATTTAGCCGAGAGGTATTACACTCCTTGATGTACAATGCACTGCAATGGATCCCTCCAGCTCAGCCAGGTCCAGCAGCAGGTTGCCCCTTGATGCGCTTCGAAGTTGAAGGCTGCTCCACGCCAGCCACAAATTTATCAACAGACGATAAGAATTCTGAGGGAGCCTCACTACAGATTCGCGAATCTGGGAAGGGCCATCTGCCCGCCTTGCCTCAGACTGAAAAGTCGACATGTGGTGAAAAGGTTCGAGACGCGCAGCATTAAACCATCCAGTAGGTTTGCTTGAAATCTTGTTGCATGGTTGTGATGCGCCGGAAAATCTGTTAGCTGAAGGCTTTCTCGCTCCTCGTCCTTCGTGCAACGTCAGCGCAAATCCGAATAAGGCCAGCTCCGTGCAGCAGGGCCAGCGTGGCAGTGACGCTGACCCCGGCACTACACTGCCCTTTTTCACGAGCCGCCACTAAAAGAGTTGGTTGCCTTGCCTTGCCAATGGCAGCCTTTCTGAACGAATTTTTGACCACAAGTTTCTTCTACACCAGACCCAGGCTAGGGAGGATAAGAAGAAGGCTCGGCACAAGGCTTACTGGGAGACAGAGAGCAGCGAAAGAGTTTCCTCGTGGGGTTGCGTTGACTGTTGTGTGGTTCAACGTAGGTCCGGTTTTAGCCTCGATATCCAAGCCAAACTTCTCATTCCCGCAAGACTAGTGCGCCTGAACCACTAGTTTTCATGTGGCTAGAATTGTTGAACTCGCTGATTTTGGGGAGCGAGCGGCTCGAGGTCGGGATGTTGTGGACGCTGGGGTTTGAGAAAAGCGAAAAAGTACCCACTTCGTTGCCACGTCGGCTAAAGACTCACTGAGGATATTTCACTTTTTCTCCGATCACTCTATCTACCGTCAGATGCGGGAAGCGTGCTCTGTTACTTCATCGTAGCCGTTGTGGAGTGTTGTGGCTAGCACTGCCCGTCTCCCGTTAGCAACAAGCACATCTGCTTCGTTGTCAAGTCGATGTGCTTGCTGCTGTGCTCCCCTCATCCAGCAGAGAGGCTCCTCGGGAATATCCAGAGGCACAGCAACATCAGGAATATCTGTGGACAGAAGGCTTCACAGGAGAGCTTTCCTCGCCCAAGGCCTTACTGATTCTTTGAGCCTCCAATGCAATATGTACCTAGATTTTAGACGCTGAGATGTTTTTTCTCCTAAGAACTTAGACGGTTTCGTAGCTTCGAGTCAGCGCAGGTTGATGTTTGCAAGACACTGTTACGTCGGCACCGCATTTTAAGCTTTGGAGCTATCACGATGAACATACCTCCAGCTCTCAACCTTCAGGTTCGTAGAGTAGATATGTCAGGATCAAGATTTGTCTCGATGACCTAGAACGCAGCAAAGTATAGTTTGCGAATCTAGTTTCTTTCAGTAGTGTTGACAATAGGATATTTGGAACCTGCGTGAACTGGCAAGAAGCCATATTACAGGCATCTTTATTGTCTAAGCAAGCACAACCAAGTAGGTTACGAATGCACGAAGTGACGGACGATGTAGTTCTTCAATAAACTCACTCTCGAAGCTCGTGACGCTACGCATGTCGTTAAGTCCCGTCAGACATCCGCTTGGTCAGCTGGATGGACTGCTCACTCATATCAGAGCTGCCATTTGGCCAATGTTTATACATCACTCGCTAACTTAGCTGCCTCTTTTTGTGTTCTCTGCATGTCGTCTCCTTCCAGAGTATGCAGGATGCAGCAGCTGCCGACACAAGCGCTGCGTACTGGAGAGCCGCAGCTGCAGCCGCTGCTGCCGCGGCTGCAGCGTCGTACCTTCCGCATGGACACGGCAACGCGCACGTGGCGTCTCAGGGACCTGGTGGTGTGGGAATGGCCATGCACGCGCCCAATTTCCTCATGCCACAAGCTTCCGCCGGTCACATCGGGTCGCCGGCCCCGAACGCTATCGCTGCGGGGACCATGGCTGGCCTCGCCTTCTCCTCCTCCGCTGCCGCCGCCGCCGCCGCTGCGTCCGCTGGCGCGGCGATGATGCAGAACTCGTTGTCGATGCACGCGCGCTTCTTCCCGTCTCTCCACCCGCACGCGGGCCTATCGCAGCACCAGCTGCACCAACTGCAGGCCGGGATTCCAGGCATGGCGACACCGCAGGTGGTGCTCGGCGCGCACTCGCAGGCATCCCTGCCGCACATGGGGCTGCTTCCCGCTCAGCAGATGGCCATGCACGGGCAGCCCGGCATGCTTCCTGGCCTGCCGCTCGCCTCCGACCCCAACTATCTCGCGGCGCACCACCTGGCCCAGCAGCAACAGCAGCAGCAACTACAGCTGCAACACGAGCAGCAGCAACAACAACAGCAAGTCGCGGTCCTGACTCCCGTTCCGCCTCCTCCTTCGGTTTTACTAGGCGGTGCGCACAAGGCGCACATGCAGGAGACGCAGATCCAGAAGCAGCACGAAGCCCTTCCAGCGCAGCTGCAGCAGGTGCAGGGGTCGCAGCAACAAGAGCAACAAGCAGGCGACGCCACCAAGGGCCCAGCAAACGGAGAGTGGGGGGCCAATGACGGCGACCTCGCAACCAAGGTATCTTTCGTCTATTTTCCTCCGTGCCTTGGTCTGTTGTGCCCCCCGCCGTATGCGAGGACTCACTAGTCAGCTCTCGGTGCCAACCGTTTGCAGTTTGTCATCCCCATGGGCGGTGCACGTAGCTGGTCCCCCCTGTCAGTCTACTAATCGCTTGCGTAGACTTCTCTTGCATGGTGATGGGTGAACTGGAACGGTGGTGCGTGGTGCGCAGGTGCGGAAGCCGTATACGATAACGAAGCAGAGGGAGCGGTGGACAGAGGACGAGCACAACAAGTTCCTGGAAGCCCTCAAGCTCTACGGCCGCGCGTGGCGCCGCATCGAAGGCAAGCCCTTCCGTACCCTCGCCCCGTCCCAACTGCCTTCCTTCTCCCTCGTCTCTTGCCCTTGCCCTTGCCTTCCCCTTGCCCTGCCCTTGCACTTGACCTCGCCTTGCCCTCGCGTGCCCTGCCGCTGGTGGCGCCGCATCTCAGCGTGTGTGCATGCGTGCGTTGCCCGTTGCAGAGCACATCGGCAGCAAGACCGCCGTGCAGATCCGTAGTCACGCGCAAAAGTTCTTCACCAAGGTACGCCCGCCACCGGCTTCCGCCTAGCTTTGTCCGCCTCGCGCCTCCCACCTCCGCATCCTGCTTCCCGCCTTCCCTACCCGCGCCGCTGTAGCACATGCAACAAGCGCTGGTCCCCTTCCATTTTTGAGTCCTTTCCGTCACGTGGACTCTCCGTGCTGCCATACTCAACGCATTCCTCCTGATCTCTGCTTTCCTTCCACCCCAGTTGGAGCGCGACGGCACCTCCGCCGCCACGTCGCAGATGGACATCGAGATCCCCCCGCCCCGCCCCAAGCGCAAGCCCGCGCACCCGTACCCGCGGAAGGCGGGCTCCGCCAGCAGCTCGCAGCCGCAGGCGCCACAGCGGCAGAACAGCCAGCACAGCCTCTCCAAGTTGCAGCAGCAGCCGTCACCGCCGCTGCTGCCCCCTCCTCCTCCCCCTCCTAAAGCTCTGCTCCCCTGCATGAAGCAGCTCCAGCTGCCACACCCGCCACCGCCGCCGCCTCAACCAAAGCAACGTGTGCAGCCGAACCAAGCGGCAGCACCGCAGCAGCAGGCGGTAGCGAGAGAGAAGGGTAAACACAAGGCCCGTCAGGCAACCTCCCAGCAGCGCGCCGATGCAGAGGAATCAGAGCCGCAGCAGCCGCGGTCGAGCAGGCAGGTGTCGCAGGGGCTAAGCTCGCAGCGCACGCAGTCGCAGACGTCGCGATCGGCGCTGCCCGTGTCGTCCGACCAGTCGTGCGGCAACCAGCGCGCCGACGACGGACAGGAGTCCAAGTACGTCTTCTCCGCCCCCCCCGCCGCCGCCGCCGCTGCCGCACCGCACAGCAACGCCAAGGCGGAGGCCTGTGCGCAGCCGCCCGTTTTCACCTCCCCCTCGCCGCTCGCCTCTCAGCGCGACGCTGCTCGTGGCGACGCGTGCGTGTCGCCGTACTCGTCGCCGCCAACGGAGAGCGACAGCGGCGCGCGGCAGTCGCCGGACCAGCGCAGCACGCTGAAGCTGTTCGGCAAGACGCTCGCCACTCCCCCCGCCATGCCACCCCCTCCCCCACCCCCAGCTGTGCCGTCCGCACCCCTGCCTCCCCCCGCCCCCCGAAGCATCAACACCAGCGCGCCCGGTTCCGCTGCCGCCTCCATGTCGCCCGACGGCAGCCCTGCGCGCTCGCCGCCGGTCCACCCGCCGCTGCTCTCCCTTGCAACACCCCCCCCGGATGTTGCTCCGCCCTCTGGCGCGCAGCACTGGCGCTTCAAGCACTCGCCGGGTGAAGGCGGCGCAGCCGACGCACAAAAGGCGGAGTGCAAGGAGGAGGAAGAAGAGGAGGAAGAGGAGAAGGAGGAGGAGGAGTATGATGGGGAGGAGGAGGAGGAGGAGGCGGACGAAGGACCGCCCATGGTGACGCGGTCGCTGTCGCTTCCCGAGCCACGAAGTGCCGCCGGCCTCGCGGAGGAGTCGCAGGGACTGACCCTCTCAGAAAGGCCGCATGCCGCGCCAGCGGCACACGGGGAGCGGATAGCGGATGCTGGCGCAAGAGGCCGCGAGCAGCGGGGTATAGCGGTAGCGCAGCGCGCGATGCGGTCGTTGAGCGTGACGGGGCACGACGTGTCCACGTCAGCGTGCGGCAGCTTCTCCGAGCGCTCCGTGGTACTCGAGTCGGGCCTCTCCGTCGAGCCCCTCCCCGCCGCCACACCGCTGCCCCCGCCCGCGCCGCAGCGGGCGGACCGCGGCGGAGCAGCACCGACAGCGGCAGCAGGCGCGCACCCGATGGCTCTGGGCGGTCCGCGCGATGCTGCGCGCGCCGCTCCTGGCTCTGCTGCTGGCGCCCACGGCCACGCGCAGGGCGGCGATGCAGTGCGCGCGGGAGCAGCCACGGCTGCTGACGCAGGCACGGGAGCGAACCTGAGCGTGGCACAGGCGCCGTACATGAACCAGCTGTTCGCGTTCCCCGCCGCCCCTACCGCGCCCAACGCAGCAGCAGCCACAGCCGCAGCAGGCACGGTTGCCATTGCGGGGCTCAGTCCGCCGGAGCTCGAGAAAGCGGCCATTCCCGTAGAGGCTGGAGCGGAGGCAGGACGAGGAGAGGGGGAAGCGGCAGCGGGCGAGGCGAATGAAGGGGCAGGCGTGGCTGCGGCGGAGGGTGGTGTGGCGAGTCCCACGCACGTGGTGTCCGCGTCGGGCGTGAACATGGCGTCGCAGTGGTCGCCCTCCCTCATGTCATCCATGGCCGGCCTCTCCATGCTCAACGCTGCCGCTGCCGCCGCCGCGTCCGCCGCTGGCGCCAACACTGCCGCCGCTCCCCATCGCCCCCCCTTCGACTATGGTGCCGCTGCCGCCGCTGCTGCAGCTGCTGCGTCAGCGCGCGGCTCCACCACTTTCCAGGAAGCAGCCGCGTCAGCTCAGATGGCCGCAGCTGCCGCAATGGGCCTGCAGTTTCCTGGTTGTTTCCTGCCTGGGAGTGAGGAGGCGGTGCAGCAGCAGCAGATGCTGTTCCCCACGCCCTTCCCCTTCGTGGACTTCCACACGCCCGGATTCCACCCCATGCACCACCCGGGCTACCTGCTCTCGCCCTACCGCGCGCCCGTGCCACACCCACACTCGGCGGCGGCGTTCCAGACCTTCGACTCGTACCTTCGTATCTATGGTCCCGCCTTCGCCTCCATGGGCGCCTCTTCTTTCGCCGCCTGGCACGCCCCGCGCGCGCAGCAGCAACAGCAGCAACCGGGCCCTCCGCAGCTGCTGCCTGGCACTCACAGTGCTGCGGCGGCCGCCACAGCGGCTGCGTCCGCTGGGCTGTGGCCCAGTCTGCCCGGCATGGCAGCAGGCTTGGCGCCGTTCCTCGCTCCTCCAGCGCCAGCAGATGCGGCGGGCAGCCCTGCCAAGGCCGTAGACGCAGGCGCGGCGGGTGCAGCAGGCGCAGTTGCAGCTCCTGCCGCTGTGCCTCCACGGTTCGCTACTGCCGCTGCACCTGCCACGACACCGGCAGCCGGCAGTGCTGCCGCGGGAACAAGTGCTGCTGCCGCTGCTGGCGCGGGGGCCGCCAGCGCCACCCCAGTGGATGCGCAACTCACGTCGCCGCCAGCGCCCCCGCGCACGCTGTCCGCGGGCGACGACCCCGCAGCAGCCGCCATGGCCGTGACCATGGCGGCCGCATCCGCGTGGTGGGCGCTGCAGGGCTCCATGCCGCCCGGCGTCTTCCTCCCCATGTCACCCGCGCAGGCCTTCCGCCCCCCCTTCAACGGCATTCCGCCTCTCCCTGCTGGCGCCGCGGCCGCCACTGCGATGCAGATTGGGTGGCCGGGCGCAGGGGAGGGGGAGGCAGGAGGGAACGGTGAAGGCGCGGGGACGGACGCGACAGGTGCGGCTGGCGGTGGTGCTGGTGGCGCTGCTGGCGCTGCAGAGGAGGGCTTTGCCAATGCCACGTTTGCAGCACCCGAGCAACAGCAACAGCAGCTGCAGGAGCAAGAGCAGCAGCAGTGTGAGATGGGGGGAGCGGTGGAGACGGGTGATGACGGCGGCGAGGGGTCGTCAGGCAAGGCGATTCCCGAGGGCGCGCAGGGCAAGGCGGAGGCCAACGACACGGCGTACAGCGCGTCGCAGAGCCAGGGCGGCGACGACGCCCTCGGCGACAACGACGGCGACGATGCACGCGCGGAGGAAGAGGAGGAGGAAGAAGAGGAGGAGGACGTGGGCGGAGAGGCGGGCGAGGGGGAAGAAGAGGGGGGGTTTGTGGCGCTGGTGAGGAGCAGCGAGGTGGAGGGGCAGGAAGCGCTGCGCCTCATGGCTAGCGAGCGAGAGGCGCTCGCCGCCATGCTGCAAGGCGTCAACGCTGACGTGGATGCTGATGTGGATGCTGACGTGGACGTTCAGGAGTCACAGCAGACGGTTGTGGGGTCGTCCGCGCCGACAGGAGCCAGCAAGGCGCTGGACTCGAGCACGGGCGCGGAGCAGGGCGGCAGGCGGGTGTCGTGGCACGGGCAGGGGCAGGAGGACGCGCAGGCGGAGAGGGAGGCAGGCAAGGCGCGGAGTGCAGGGGATGCGCGGCCGCTCGCGCACGGGCACCGGTCGCAGCAGCACGGGGGGCAGCAGAGGGGCGGGGCAGGCGGCAGCGAGGGCGGGCAGGGGAGGAGTCCCGGCGAGGGCGGCATGGGACCGTGCACTGACTCGTCGCCCTCCGTGTGGGCCTCTAACTCCACCCCGCCCCACCACGCCCACGCTCACGCGCCCAGACACGCTGCCAACGGCCACGGCGGGCACGGGCACACGCCTCAGAAGGAGGCGCAGAGGCGGCCGAGCGACCTGCAGAACGGCGTGGCGTTGGCAGCGGACGAGCAGCAGCGCGGCCACAACGCCCGCTACTCCACTCCCCAGCTCCCACGCAGCCCCCCTAGTGCTGCCGCCGCTGCTGCTGCAGGCATTCCTAGGCCTTTCGGCTTGCCTGCCAGTCCCACGGACAAGCGTCCTGGCGGTGGTGCTGGCGGCGCCGCTGTGAATGCTGCCACTGCCATGGCGGGTGCTTCTGCTGCCGCTGCTGTCTCGAAGCAGGAGAAATGGAGACTGCCCCGTGAGAGAGGGCGCACGGGACATGCACAGGCGCACGAGCATGCACACGCACCGGCGCACAACCACAACCATGGCCACGGGCATGGGCAAGCTCATGCGGAGCGCAGAGGGCTCAACGCGAGTGGTGCGGCGGCGGCAGCAGCAGCGGGCGCGGCGGCGGCGGACAAGAGGGAGCAGTCGAACCTGATCCGCAAGCTGCGCTCGCTCGAGAAGTTCAAGGTCCGCCACGCCAGCGCTGCCGCCCCCACCACCGCCACTGCCGCCGCCAGCGCCACTGGCGCTGCGACTGCGGCGGCTGACGAAGCGAGCGCGAAGATGAGCGCGTGCGGCCCCGGCATGGGCGGAGAGGGAGCGGGCTCGGGCGGAGGGGAGGGCAGTGGCGGGGACGGGAACGAGGGGGCCACCGAGGGACTGGGAGGCGGAGGAGAGGGGAGAATTGCTGGTGCAGAAGGGGAGGGGGCGAAAGCAGGGGGAGGCGAGGGAGCGGGAGGGAAGGAGGGCGTGGGAATGGCGGGCGAGAATGAGGGGCCGCGGAGGAAGCGACTGCGCGGACACTCCGTCAGCGGCAGCAACACTCCACCTCCCACTACCAGACAAACACTGCCCTCCGGAGACACGCCTGTGCCGGCCGACGGTGGCGCGGGGGAGGCGGCAGCAGCAGGAGAGGGAGCAGAGCAGCAAGGGGAGGTGCGCGCCACCCCATCGTCCTCAGGCAGTCGCGGGCAGAACGGCAATGGCGGTGGCAGTGGCAGCGGCACCAAGCACGAGGGGGGGGGTGGGCCCGAGGGCTCAGGGGAGAACGGGCCAAGCTCCAACTCGTCTGAGTGCGGCAACGAGGCGGGCAGAGAGCGGCTGGGCGGGTCCAGTGACGGCGGCACGAGCGAGCGCGACGCGTGCAAGCGGCGCGAGCGAGACGTGTCTGAGGAGGGTGCCACTGCCAAGAGCGCCGTGAAACGACTCCCTGGCGGCGAGGCTGGCGGGGAGAGTGATGGGAAGGACGTGGAGGGGAAGGAGGAGGAGATGAATGTGGGGGGTGGTGAGGAGGAGGAGAAGGAGGATGAGAACAATGAAGAGGCGGGTGCTGGTGAGCAAGCCATGCAGGCAGAGAGGGCAGCGGAGGAGGGGAAGGCGAATGAGATGGAGAGAGGTGGTGCGGTTGAGGAGAGGAGCGCCAAGCGGAGGAAGGTGGTGGCAGCGGGTGCAGGCGAGGAGGGGTGCTCGCGAGTGGTGGGTGGGGCACCGCAGGGCAGCAGTGCACCCACTGCCGGCAGCAGGTCGCACACGCCCCTCAGCCTCTCCACCCCGCACGCCCTGCTGCTGGGGCTGGACGCCCGCCATGCAGGCATGCGTGCCGAGGGCCAGCAGCATAAGGAGGGCGGTGGCGACAACAACGCTGCTGACGGGCTGGAGCAACTGCAGCTGCTGGGGAAGAAGCGCGCTGGGGTGGTCAGAGGAGCGAGTGGTGGTGCACACAAGGGCGAGGAGGGCGAGGAGGGGTCAGCGAATGAAGCGAGGGGCAGTGCTGCTCGGCCCGGGCGCACAGAGACGTCTCAAGTGGTGGGCGCCGGGCGGCGCGAGCTGAGAGGCGACGGCCAGTCCGTCTTCCGACCGCTGCCCATCCTCCCCCCCAAGGTGACGCCCCCACATGCCCCTCCTCGCCTCCTCCCCCCTCCCCCCTCCAAACTTGCGGCCCCACGTGCGTGTGGGGTCGCGCAAGGGGAAGGCCCTCAGCCGGTTGCTGCCGCTGCTGCTGGCGCTGGCGCTGGTGGCGGTGGTGGTGACGGTGGTGACGGTGGTGGTGAGGCCGTGAGGGGTCAGGTGGGAGAGGGGGCACGTGCGGCCGTGAGGGTGGAAGGGGAGATGGGAGGGCAGAAGGAGCAGGGCGAGATGAGACAGCAGCGGAGAGGCAAGGAGAAACGGGCATCAAGTGGTGGGGAGGCGGTGCGACAGGAAAGTCGCAAGCATGGAAGGGACGAGGGAGAGGAGTGGATGACAGACAGGAAGCAGCAGCACGTGCATCAGCACCAACACCAGCACCAACACCAGCAGCAGCAGCAGCAGCAGCCGGCGAGCAGCAGCGGGGCGGCGTCGCTGCTAGCAGGCATGCGCATTGTGGGTCCATCTCTGCCCATGCCCTCCTCCCCCACGGGTGACCCATCGTCCAGCAACAGTGGGGGCGCAGGCGTGCACCACCACTTCCACTACCACTACCACAGCGCTGGCAGCAGCGCCAAGCACCGTGCTGCCTCCTCCTCCAAGCAACCCACCACTGCTGTCGCCGCCGCTGCTGCTGCCATCGCAGCTGCTGCTAAGGTTGAAGCCGTTGCCTCTGCTGCTGCCCCTCCTGCCACCCTTAGCGCTCCCTCAGGCCCGGAAACCCCGAGCCTGAGGTCTGGAGAGGGTGGGGAGGGGTATGGGGGGTTGGTGCAGTGCAGTAAAGGGGAGAGCAGTGATGGGGGGGAGGGGGAGGGGAAGGAGGCGGGGGGTGGAGGAAGAGGACGGGAGAGCGGTGGTGGCGAGGACGATGCGATGGGTGATGAGGGGAGAAAGACAGCTGCCTTGCTGCAGGTGTGCTCCATGCCCCCTCCCCTTCATTCTCTGCTGCCCCAGTGTATCGTCCCTTGTCTCACCTCCCGTGCCCACAATCTCCCCTTCCACTCATCTCTCGTCCCCCCTCCCCCCTCTCTTCCCCTTTTCCGCTGCTGTGCGTCCACAGGCTGACATGCGGCACCCATGGAACAGAGAGGGCGGTGCAGGAGTGGAGGGGCAGTGCAGGGAGCAAGGCCCTGGCGCCATCACAGCACGGTTGATGCGCAGCGTGGGTGGTGAGGGGCCGAGCAAGCACAGCGAGCGGCACCGGGGGCGACAGTACGAGCACAAGCAGCAGAGCAATCATCGCTTCCACCCATACAGCCCCCGCAAGGAGCGCAGTGATCAGCGCAGCCCCCCCGCCTTTCATGTCTCTGCTGCTGGCCCGCCCCCCACAGAGGCCAAGGGTGACCTGGGGAAAGGGGAGGGCAAGCACATGCAGCAGGGAACTTGATGGTGAAATGGGATGGGGAAGCATTGAGAGAGATGGCAAAGGCCAGTGAGTGCAGGCCTGAGTGGGTGGGTGTGTGTGTCTAATCCATTGACAGGATGTTTTAGAAAGGTTGCCTGTTCTGGGGTACCATGTGCAGGCTACCTATCTTAGGCTAATCTAGCTTGTGTGCTTTGCTTTGACATTGTTTATTTTTATATTTTACAACTATAAAGTTGATGTAAGTTGATGTTCGTGCAGTCCTGTTCTAAAATGCTGGCACAGCATGACAAATTCCACAGATTGGGTTGTTTACAAGTCTCCACCACGTGTACTAGGCACAATGGTATCTTGCTAGCCAGCTTGACACACTTCACAATGAGTAGCAAAATGCTGTTCCGCACTGGAATTAGGTACCGGTACATGCTGTGACCTGGCACATGAAGCAGCACAGGGGGCTTCAAGAGGGCTCTCCAGATTCGCCTGGCGGAACCATCTCTGGAGCTGCCACCACAGGCCGCCGCACAAAGTGGGCCAGGAACTCCACGTTGCCATCCGTGCCCGTTATCGGTGACGTCATCACCCCCTGCACCTCCATCCCAAACTCCTCTATACCGCGCGTCACCCTTTCAAGCACCTGCAGGCATGACAAGATGCACGGAACGGAACGACGGCGAAACACAAGAAGGTGAAAAGAGAGCAGGGCTGGAGCAGAGGAGGACGAGCACACCCAACACTGCGGAGTCAACACCTGGCATGGCAGGCACCAAGGCGGCGTAGTGCTGACACTGGCCAGCAGAGTGCTGCTGGGGCCAGCTGGGGCGGCACGCACCTCCTGCCGCACGGCCTCGCTGCGCACGATCCCCCCTCCGCCCACCTGCCCGCGCCGCGCCTCAAACTGCGGCTTTACGAGCACTATGAGGTGCGCCCCCGGCTTCATCACCCCCACCACCGCTGGCATCACCTGCCATGCCATGCCATCGCGGACCAGACAGGTGGGTGGGGAGGATGGGGATGCATACTGCGAGTGTTGAAGGGTGTGGTGAACGATGGGCATGGGGAGGTTCCATTTATGGCGCTGTGGGAGAGGATGGAGATGAAAGAGAGCACGAGGATGGTGGGGGATGGGGAAGAGACAGAGCGCAGAGAGAAGAGCGCAGAGAGCAGAGTGCAGAGAGAAGAGAGCAGAGAGCAGAGCGCAGAGAGCAGAGCGCAGAGAGCAGAGCGCAGAGAGAAGAGCGCAGAGAGCAGAGCGCAGAGAGCAGAGCGCAGAGAGCAGAGCGCAGAGCGCAGAGAGCAGAGAGCAGAGCGCAGAGCGCAGAGAGAAGAGCGAGCAGAGCGCAGAGAGAAGAGAGCAAAGAGCAGCACGGAGGGAAGCGTACGAGGAGGACGGAGATGAAGGAGAGGTCGAGGGTAACCAAGTCCACTTTCTCCGGCAAATCAGAGGGCGACAGGTGGCGCAGGTTGGTTCGCTCCATGACCACCACTCTTGGGTCGATTCGGATGCGCTCACTCACCTGCAATCATGCATCCGGACACTCAAACATTTACACACCCACACATCCACACCCCCACACACACACCACACACCCACAAACACACCCACGCACCCACACACACAAATCTCATGCATATGCACATGCTCATTCCGATTAGCATTCACACGAGGAGAATGCACAGATACAAATATGCATGAGAGGGGGACCACAGCAGAGCAGCCAATGCCAACAAGCAGAGGTGCGTGAAATCCACTCACCAGCAATCCACTCACCAGCAATCCACTCACCAGCAATCCACTCACCAGCAATCCACTCACCAGCAATCCACTCACCAGCAATCCACTCACCAGCAATCCACTCACCAGCAATCCACTCACCAGCAATCCACCTGCCCACATACCACCTGCCAACACCCCACCTGGCCGCACCCACCTGGCTGCACCCCACCTGGCTGCACCCCACCTGGCTGCACCCCACCTGGCCGTACCCCACATCGACGCCGTACACGCGCGCAGCAGCGTGCTGCAGCAGGCAGTCCGTGAAGCCCCCCGTGGACAGCCCCGCATCCAGCGCCACCGCTCCCCCCACCGCCACCCCCCACTGCTGCAGCGCGCCCTCCAGCTTGTACCCCGCCCTGGGGGGACGGGACGAGAAGAAAAGGGGGGGGGGGAAAGGAGAGATGGGGAGGGGGGGCAGGGAGGAGAGAGGGGGTATGAGGGAGCACTTTCAAGGGAATGGAGCGCTACAGTTGACTTAAAAGGTGCTGGCTGCACAGTGAGCGTGGACCGCAGCCAGGCATGAACGTATGAAGCTGGCGGAGTGGTGTGGTGTGGTTGGCAGGAGAAAGAGCGGAGTGACGGCAGCAGGGGGGGGTCGGGGGGGAGGGAGGGCTGGGCTGACCTGCAAACGTATTTGGGCACGCGGGCCTTGATGATGACGTCAGCGTGCTCTGATACCTGCGCGCCCGCCTTGGTGACTGGATGCCCCTCCACCAGCACCTTGCCTGCACGGGGAGCGGGGAAGGGGGAGAAGGCAGCGTTGTAGGGAAGAGACGAGGCAGAGTTACGGGAGCAAGGGAGAGGGCGGTTGAGAGAGAAAGGGGACTGTGGGAGGGGACTGTGGGATGGGACTGTGGGATGCGACTGTGGGAGAAAATACGGAGGAATGCACAATGAATGGACTTTTGCCCCCCAACTTGCAAAGAAACCGCGAAAACGGGAAATTGGGATACCGGGATACTGGGAAACCGTGAAACCGGGAAACCGGGATACCGGGATACCGGGAAACCGGGAAACCGGGATACCGGGATACCGGGAAACCGGGAAACCGGGAAACCGGGATACCGGGAAACCGGGATACCGGGATACCGGGATACCGGGAAACCAGGATACCGGGATACCGGGAAACCGGGATACCGGGATACCGGGATACCAGGATACCGGGAAACCGGGAAACCGGGATACCGGGAAACCGGGAAACCGGGATACCGGGATACCGGGATACCGGGAAACCGGGAAACCGGGATACCGGGATACCGGGAAACCGGGATACCGGGATACCGGGAAACCGGGATACCGGGATACCGAGATACCGGGAAACCGGGAAACCGGGATACCGGGATACCGAGAAACCGGGATACCGGGAAACCGGGATACCGGGAAATCAGGATATCGGGATACCGGGATACTGGGATACCGGGAAACCGGGAAACCAGGATACCGGGATACCGGGATACCGGGAAACCGGGAAACCGGGATACCGGGAAACCGGGATACCGGGATACCGGGAAACCGGGATACCGGGATACCGAGATACCAGGAAACCGGGAAACCGGGATACTGGGATACCGGGAAACCGGGAAACCGGGATACCGGGAAACCGGGAAACCGGGATACCGGGATACCGGGATACCGGGATACCGGGAAACCGGGATACCGGGATACCGGGAAATCAGGATATCGGGATACCGGGATACCGGGATACCGGGAAACCGGGAAACCGGGATACCGGGATACCGGGAAACCGGGATACCGGGATACCGGGAAACCGGGATACCGGGATACCGGGAAACCGGGATACCGGGAAACCGGGATACCGGGAAATCAGGATATCGGGATACCGGGATACCGGGATACCGGGAAACCGGGAAACCGGGATACCGGGAAACCGGGATACCGGGAAACCAGGATACCGGGATACCGGGAAACCGGGATACCGGGATACCGGGATACCGGGAAACCGGGAAACCGGGAAACCGGGAAACCGGGAAACCGGGATACCGGGATACCGGGATACCGGGAAACCAGGATACCAGGAAACCAGGAAACCGGGAAACCAGGATACCGGGATACCGGGATACCGGGAAACCAGGATACCGGGATACCGGGAAACCGGGAAACCGGGATACCGGGATACCGGGAAACCGGGAAACCGGGATACCGGGAAACCGGGAAACCGGGATACCGGGATACCGGGATACCGGGATACCGGGAAACCAGGATACCGGGATACCGGGATACCGGGAAATCAGGATACCGGGATACCGGGAAACCGGGAAACCGGGATACCGGGATACCGGGAAACCGGGAAACCGGGAAACCGGGAAACCGGGATACCGGGAAACCGGGAAACCGGGATACCGGGATACCGGGATACCAGGAAACGGGGATACCGGGAAACCGGGAAACCGGGATACCGGGATACCGGGAAACCGGGATACCGGGATACCGGGAAACCGGGAAACCGGGATACCGGGATACCGGGATACCGGGAAACGGGGATACCGGGAAACCGGGAAACCGGGATACCGGGATACCGGGATACCGGGAAACCAGGATACCGGGATACCGGGAAACCGGGAAACCGGGATACCGGGATACCGGGAAACCGGGAAACCGGGATACCGGGAAACCGGGAAACCGGGATACCGGGATACCGGGATACCGGGATACCGGGAAACCAGGATACCGGGATACCGGGATACCGGGAAATCAGGATACCGGGATACCGGGAAACCGGGAAACCGGGATACCGGGATACCGGGAAACCGGGATACCGGGAAACCGGGAAACCGGGATACCGGGATACCGGGATACCGGGAAACGGGGATACCGGGAAACCGGGATGGTACTGTGGGATGGGACTGTGGGATGGGACTGTGGGATGGGACTGTGGGGTGGGACTGTGAAACTACGGAGGAATTCACAATGAATGGACTTTTGCCCCCCAACTGCAGGATCCAGGAGCGCACCTTGCAGGATCCAGGAGCGCACTTGGCTGCGGCTGTACTGCGCCCACCGCGCCACGCACAGCTCGTCCAGCCGCACCCGTTTCCTGCGCCTCCGCGCCCCGCCCTTCCCGCCTCCCGTTCCGCCGCCTTGGCTCCGCCCCACCTCCGCCTCCGCAGCTATATCTGCGCCAGCATCGCCGCCTTGGCGCAATGCTGCTGCTTCCGCGAGGACTGGCGGGTCTCCTCGCGCTTCCCCTCGACCCACCTCCTCTCCACCACTGTCCCCCTTCCCTACTTCCTCCCCCGCTGCCTCCGCACCTCCGCTCACCGCCAACGCCCCTCCATCTGCCCCCGCCCTCAAAATCTCTACTTTTCGACTCCTTCTGCCTTCCGCGGCATGCCCCTCTGCGAGAACAGGGCGCGGAGGCGCGGAAGAGAAACTGCGGAGAGTTGCGGGTGGGAGGATCGCGAGACGGAGATCGGCCAGAGGAATGGGGGACCGCGGCGCAGACGAAATCGATGCGCGGAGCGTGAATGGAAGCCTCGCGGCGGCAACGGGCGCAAGATGAAGAACAGGCGGCATGGTTGATGGGAGGACGTATCTACTGGGATGGTGCCACGTGTGCTGCTGATGGTGGTTGGGGAAGCTGACTGGGCGATGGCACGTGTGCCACGCTGAGTGGAGGCGAAAGAGGAGCTCCTCGCGAATGGCGAGAGAACGGGGGGGCGGCGCGAGAAGCTGCAAGCGAAACAATAGCACCATGGCACGTCACGAGGAAAGGAGGAGGCACTCCCACTGTCGCTGTTTGTGAGTGGGGGGGAATGTGATGGCAAGCCAATTTGAAGGGTTGGTGATTTTGCACGCATTTGGTACCAGCAATGTTCACTGTAAAATTGTGGGTGTACAGCGGAGACTTTTGTATCGAGTACGAACAAGGGACAAACTCGCCCTTCCAGATTCGAATTTCCTGAAGATCCATTCCACCAATTCGCCCCTCACACATCCACCCCAATCTCTAGATTTACCACCATCCACCTTGCGCAATTCCACATGCTCTGCTTCCCCAGCAAGTCGCTTTCGCCTCCTCGCGCACTCGCACCGCAGGTTCCCCCTCTCGCCTCCACAGCCTCCCGTTGCGCTTCCTTTCGGAGAGCAATCGTCGCTCCTCCGTCGTCCACGCGTCGCCGGCGACCAGTGCGACTCATGGCGACCGCAGCGCCGGCATCGGTGCCGGCAATCCGTCTGTCGAGCGGCTACGACATGCCGGTGGTGGGGATGGGCGTGTGGCGCGCGGACAAAGGCCGGCTCGGCGCGCTTATCAAGGACGCCGTTGCACTCGGGTACCGCCACTTCGACTGCGCGGGTGCGTGCATGCCGCGCTGCACGGGGGAACTTATTGCGCGAGGATAGGGCGCTACAGCCGGGCTCAGTGCGCCACAGTGAGCTCAGCGCGCTACAGTCTTTGTGCTTGAATCAATCCCAGTCTCAAGCCGCCCCTTCTTCCTTACCCCTTACCTTGCCTATGCTTCCCCTTCCCCTCCCCATCCCCTTCCCTCCCCCTTCCCCCCGCGCCAGCGGACTACGGCAACGAGGCGGAGGTGGGGGAGGCGCTATCCGCGGTGCTGGAGGCAGGCGCGGTAAAGCGTGAGGAGCTGTTTGTGACGAGCAAGCTGTGGAACAGCGACCACGCGCACGTGAGGGAGGCGTGCGAGCAGTCCCTGAAAGACCTGCGGCTGGACTACCTGGACCTGTACCTCGTGCACTTCCCCATCGCCACCAAGCACACCGGTTCGTCTGTTGCCCCGCGCACGCGAGCGTGAATTGTTGAGGCGCGTTGTGGGCAGAGCTGGGGCGGGTCATGGGAGCAGGAGAGGGAGGGAGAGTTTAAGAGGCGGAAGGGCAGCGGGGAGCGGGATGGAGAAGGGAAGACGGAGAGGGCGGCAGTGTGTGAGGGTAAAGAGCTGTGCGAGTGAGAGGACGGGGAAGTCCAGGAGTGAGTGCGGCTTGCTGCAACCCAACCATGGCCCTGCTCTCAATCTCTTGCATCTGTACGTGGGTGGCATGGAATCGCATGGAACGGCATGGCATGGCATGTGATGGCATGGCAGGGATAGGCAGCACGAGCAGTGCGATGGGTGAGGATGGCGTGTTGGACATAGACATCTCAGTGCCGCTGCATGAGGTGTGGCGCCACATGGAGGCGCTCGTTAAGGACGGCCTCGTGCGCTCCATCGGCATCAGGTGCGCTCCATCGGCATCAGGTGCGCTCCATCGGCACCAGGTGCGCTCCATCGGCATCAGGTGCGCTCCATCGGCATCAGGTGCGCTCCATCGGCATCAGGTGCGCTCCATCGGCATCAGGTGCGCTCCATCGGCATCAGGTGCGCTCCAGTCCAGAGCTCCAGTCCAGAGCTCCAGTCCCGAGCTCCAGTCGGCACGGCACGGTGGTGCATGACATGGATAGAATCGAAGGGATGTTTTCATAGCTCGCCCTTAGTTTTCCACTCCCCCGCACTGCTTCTAAGCCTCATCTCTCTGCCTCACACTGCTTACTTCTCCCTTCAACAACACCCCGCCCCCCGCCCCTTCAACCCCTGCCTTTCCGTCACTCACAACCCCACCTTCCCCGCCCCCATGTGACCCCTCCCACAGCAACTACGACGTGTATCTGACTCGCGACTGTCTGGCGTACAGCAGCGCAGTGAGGCCAGCAGTGAACCAGGTGGAGACGCACCCCTACTTCCAGCGCGCCTCGCTGCTGCGCTTCTGCGCCAAGCACGGCATCACCCTCACTGCCCACACGCCCCTGGGCGGCGGCGCTGCCAACGAGGAGCTCTTCAAGTCCAAGTCCCCGCTCTCTGACCCCGTTGTGCTCGTGCGCTCCCTCTCACCCATTCTTGCTTCATGCCTTTCCTGCTGCAGCTTCGTTCTGAATGTGCTTCTGATTTGAGAATGTCTGTATCATGTTCTACTCCTGCTGCTCTGCGCTTATCTGCTGCTTGGCCTTTCCTATGTGTGTGATGTGATTTCGTGCTCAGGAGCTGGCTGCAAAGCACAACAAGACAGCGGCGCAGGTGGTGTTGCGGTGGGGAGTGCAGCGCAACACGGTGGTGATACCCAAGTCCAACCGAGTGGAGCGCCTGGCGGAGAACATAGCCATCTTTGACTTTGAGCTCGATGCTGGCGACATGGCCCGGATGGAGGGCCTTGACGCTAAGGCTAGGAGCAACAACCCGGCTCCCTTTTGGGGCATCGATTTGTATGCTTAGGAAGAAACCATTCGTTCTGTGTGTTCAAGCTTTGCTAGGGTACCTTTTGGCTTGCGGTCCAGCTTCTCGTCTGGTTATTCGAGACTCCACTTCTTGTCAACGATCACCAGGCAGCCCCCACGTCCTCATCTGGGCTCAGCAACACCTTTGTGGCATCACTGCTTGTGTGTCGGCCAGGGCAGCAGCAGGTTGGGGTGGGAGGTGCAGGTGAGAGCAGGAGAAGTGGAGAGGCTAGGTGTATGGGGAAGCCTGGTAGCATATAGAAGGGACTAGGCTGTGGACTCGTAAACCCTCGGCAGCACCAGTAGGCCTATATGCACACCTTCCCACCACCACCCCTTCCTGTACCCTGCAGAGGCAGGCAGAGGAAGATGGGCAATTGACATGATGGCAACATTAGGACATGTTCCTTCGGCCCCTTATCAAGCCAACCTCTAACGGTACTATCAGGCTCGGGTCACAACACACTGAAATTTCCCTAAACCCGAAAACCTTAGCAATTTTACTAGGCAAAAATGCGAAGCTAATACGAGGTGTCCCTGATAAGGGGCCGTAGGATCATGCCCTTAGTGGCTCTTGGTCACTGATGATATTGCTCTGCAATGTTAGTTATGAGTTGTGATCCTAATATGTGTTCGATAGAAACTGATGGCGAGGCAACTAGCACCCTTACCGATAAGAAAGATACTTTCACAAGGTTTCATTTCTTCTGTTTAGTTCCCGTACCGTATTCCCCCGGTAGCTAATACGGTACGATAAGACCCCCCCCAAAATAAAACACCCCCGGGTAGCTAATACAGGGGGTGTTTATTAAGCCTCGAAATCGTTATACCCCCCTTTTGAGGGGTGAACAATATAACACCCCCCCCCCCCCCCCCCCCCCCCCCCCCCCTCCTTTATAGGGGGGTGTAAGGAAAAAGGGATTTTCCTTACTTCGCGTCCCTGCTCAACGCGTACATCACTGTAGCACCACAGTCAGCACCGTTACCACTCGCAATCCTCGCATCGACAATCCGCCCGCCATCTTCGCACGTCGCACCCCGACCTCACGGCTCGACGGGTAACCCGCGCTCCGCGCCTCCGCCTCAACACTTTTCCCAACCTCAGTCCCAGGCCCGTCACACGACAACCACAGTCCATTACGGTTACCACTGTAGTTTCGCTATACATTCTTCGCCTATGCCTTCGCTCATTGTAGTCTTGCTTCGATAGTGCAATTCTCGTTCGTTCATTCAATTGCACTCGTAACACTTGGTATTCAGAGCCTACGACCTCTTCTCGGACCGCACCCACACCTTCGCTTCCCCACTATCTCAATTTTTGGAGGGGGTAGACGTCCCTCAGCGACACAGCACCGCCGCTCGTAGTGCTCTCTCGTAAGCACGCACGGCCACGACTGAGGCTCTCGCTGAGCTCGCCCGACACCCCCGCCATGGCCGAATTCACGCTCGCCACATTGACGAAGGAGCAGCTCGACCGTCTGATGCGCCAACTCGAAGATTCGGCGCTCGAAATTGCGATGCTCACAGCGGAACGTGACTCCGCGCGTCAGCAATCAACGGTGAACACTCCAGCAGCACCAACAAATGCACCTGCACAATCGGACGAGCCAATCGTCAACTCGTCCGGGACACCAACACAACACGACAGCGTGGGACAGCGCTCGGGCGCAGCCAGTGATAGCGCCGCCCAACCAATGCATGGCATGGGAGGAAACATGGGCGCGCCAAGCCCGCGGGAGCCTCGCGAAGCCCGTCGGCACGTGGAGTTCGCGGCGACAAGTGGCGAACAGGCCATCATGGCACCAATGCCACTCAAGCCGCAACGCCCGCCCTGTTTCGACCCGAGCCAGCGTGGAGGTCCGACGGTTCAATCGTGGGTTTTCACGATGAACGTCTTTTTCGACGCGAATTACGTCGAGTCGGACGCAGCGAAGATTCGGTATGCCGTTTCGCTGTTAAGGGGCCCCGCCATGGACTGGTGGCGAGTCATCGTGACGTCGCCACGCGCCTACGAGCCACCGTCGCAAGAGGAAGGGCCCACGGGTCCAGCTGTCACCTGGAGTTCATTCTGCGAGACCGCCCAGTACAGCACGTGGGATGCTTGGTGCGCAGGGCTTCGGGCGCGCTTCGAGCCGATCGCGGCTTCTATTTCGGCGCGTCAGAGATTGCGCACTTGGCGGCAGCTCGGGTCGGTTCAAGATTACACGAGCGGTTTTCTCGCACTTTGCGAGCAGGTCGGCTACATGCATGAAGCGGAGCGAGTGGACCGTTACGTCGGAGGGCTGAAGCCGGATATCTTGCACGAAATCATGCTGCGCGGACTCTCAAACTTCAACAAGATTCTCGCGCTCGCCGAGAAAATCGACATTCTACGCCGACCGAGACCGGGGTCCTACTACGGACATCGTCCTCGGGGACCGATCGAGCAAGCCACTGTAAACGCTGCTGCAACGAATGCAGCTGCCGCACCGTTTAAGGGGCGCTGCTTTGCTTGCAACAGGCCGGGCCATCGCAAGAGTGAATGCCTAGAGGAGCTAAGGCGCCGCGGAGCAGAGCAGGGGAGAGAGTCTCAGAGGCAGGGAAACGCCAGCAGTCAGTAGAAGTTGGGCCAACTACTGACGAGACTGCCTGCTCGCCCAACCGCACCGACCCTCACCGAGTCACAGTACCGATTCACGCCATCGATCGGGCTCGGATGAATAAGGAGGGTACAACGACGGATTGCCCAGTACTGATCCACGGGAAAATACAGGGAGAAGCAGTGAAGATTTTTATTCACGGAGGAGCAAGCCACAGTTTAGTTAATACCGCAACTGTGCGAAAATTACAACTGACGCTTAGTCGCTGCTTACCTGAGATCGACGCACGCTTAGTCGACGGCACGCCGCTGGCCATATGGGAGAAGGTGGAGAGAGTAAAAGTTCGTTGCGGAGGAAACTTCGGGTTTACACAGGAAATGCTCGCGACGACACTGGATGGGCATGATGTTTTACTGGGACGTGATTGGCTACGACGGTACAACCCACGAATCGACTGGACGACGGGTAGCTGCACTGTGCGAAGTAGCGGTAACTGGGTCATGCTACCTCGCTGGCAGTCGCCCGAGTCTTCAACGGTCCACGTCAACGCCATCACGATGAAACGGGTTGTCGCCGCTGGAGCTGACGTGTACGCTGTAGATATAGCATTAGTGGGAGAAGCGGAGCAGCCGAGCGATTTTCAGAAACTATTGGCAGCAGTACCGCCCGAACTACAGGAACTGTTGAAACGGTACCCGGGGATTTTTCCAGACGACTTACCGGAAGGGCTGCCACCTCAGCGGGCGCATGATCATAGGATCGAGTTAGAACCGGGGGCACAGCCAACTGTACAGCGCCAGTTCAGACTGACACAGCCCGAGCTCGACGAACTGAGGAAGCAGTTAGATTATTTGTTAGAGAAGCAGTTTATTCAACAAAGTTCGTCACCGTTCGCCGCACCGATACTGTTCACACCGAAAAAAGACGGAGGGTTTCGCATGTGCATCGATTACCGAGCGCTCAACAGGGTAACAGTCAAGTCGCAGTACCCCATTCCCCGCGCCGACGAACTGATCGACCAACTGCGAACAGCACGGGTGTTTTCGAAAATAGACTTACGGGGGGCTTACCATCAGATTCGGGTCGAACCATCGGACTGCGCCAAGACAGCATTTAGGACTGGGTACGGGTCGTTTGAGTACACGGTGATGCTGTCAAAATGTTATAATTGTCTAGCCTGCAGTGGGGTACTCTATAGCGAGTACAACCCAATTAGGGTTTCCTATATGTATGCCAACTGCTACTAGTGCAACCCCTCCTTTCTTCATTCTTACTTTCTACTGCTGATTCTGACATGCTATCAGAGCAGGTCGACCCTCCTGGGTCGATCCTGTGGGTGGGCCCACCACCTCACTGCTTCCGCTGCTACTGCTACTCTGTGTGTTGCACGCCCCGTGGCGTGCGACGGATTTTTCATCCCACCGCGCGCTCGGAGCGTGCGGCGGTTTTCTGCCCGCAGTGCGCCCCGAGGTGCGCGGCGGTTTTCTGCCCGCCGTGCGCCCCGAGGCGCGCGGCGGCTTTCTGCCCCGTCACTCCGCGCGTCGCTCCCGGGAGGCGCTGCGACGGGCGACGGGGACCCGCGCGTCGCCCCCTGTCGCCCGTCGTGGCCTGCGCGACCTGCGTAGGGCCCGCGCGCGGCCCGTACAGCCTGCGCGCGGCCGTACGGGCTGCGCCAGGCCCGCGCGCGGCCTGTACGGGCTGCGCCAGGCCAGGGCGCGCCTCGTGCCGCCCGCGCGCGGTTCGTACGGGCTGCGCCAGGCCCGTGGGCGCCCTGTTTCCTCTTCCCCTGAGCTGCCCGCTGTCCCCCGTGCTTCTGACGGCGCCCCACCCCTGCTGCTGCCCGTTCTCCTGAATTAGGGTTTGGGATGGGGGGTATGGGGGTGCAGTTTCTGTGTGCCGTCCCCTGCTCCTCCTCCTCCTCCGTCTCCTAGTGCTGCAGCTGCCGCTGAGGGGGGTGGATCTGTTGGAGCCGTCGGAGTGGTACTAAGGGGTGAAGGGGGAGTGGAGCTAGGGGTGAAGCAGGGGGTGTGTGTCAGGGGGGGTGGGACTGTTTGGGGAGGCTGAGAGGAGGCTGCCGTCTTGTCGTCCGCAGCACCTGTAGTCCGGGGCGCTGTCCTGGTAGCCCAGAGAGCCTGCTGCGCCTGTCGCCCGTGGGTCCGTTGCTCCTGTAGCTCCTCGTAGCCCGTGAGCCAGTTACTCCAGTAGTCCGGGGCGCTGTCCCGGTAGCCACTGTGCGAGCCGCTCCTATTGCCCGTGTGTCTGCAGCTTCAGCCGTCGTCTCCCATCTTCTCTCCTCTCACAGTCCCTCCTCCTCCTCACTTGCCTGCTGTGACTACCACTAGCTTTGCTCATAATTGTGAACTACTGCTATGCTTGCTCATTGTGCTAATTACACCCCACTTTGGCAATGGGGGTGTGT